GTGACGACGTCGATCGGGGTTAGGTTTTGCGCATATCTCCTTCCACTTTACATCCTCCCCTTTGGCTTGCTATACCCCACCCGCTTATCGCTTCAACCCGTCTACCCAGGCCACCATCAGTCGCAGGTGACGACTGCAAGTTGCTGGCTAAAACCCATGGGAGAGCGAAAGAGAGAGAGAGACAGAAATTACGAGAACTGAGAGAGAGACCAAAACTGCAGCCAATATTTTGGTCAAATTCATCCATAATTAGCCCAAATTTCGTCGGGGTGGGCCGAGCGGTAGAGACGTGTTTATTACGGCCTGCAGGGTTTGGTTCTGCGGTGAGAGAGTCACTTCCTGTTTTTGGTCATATCCATTCATTAATCACAGAGTGAACCGCCGATTTTGTTTTTACATTATCACCTCAATGAAAAGTGGAAGGTAAGGCCATCTTCAACTTATCCATACCATAGGGTTGAAAATAGCTGAAATGATATGAAAATCGTCTCTAATCGAAGGCTAGGACAAATGGCTTATGGGCCCCACCGAGCCACAATTGGAGAATCGGGCCAACTGGTTGGCCCAAGCCAGCTAGCCAGCCTCGACTGGTCTAGCATTTTGAATCCCAACGACTACTTGCTGATGTCAGCTAATCGTTAAATTTGATTTTTTTTCCTATAACTACCTAAGCCATTAAACAACATTAAATAATATTAAGTAACATTAAACAACATTAAATAGTATTAAGTAACATTAAACAACATAAAACTTAAACACATACTTCATGCTTCTTTTGGCCCAAGATGTGCAACAAGATCGTGTTGTAGATACTTGTTTGTGGCACACGAACGTATCATCTTATGGCGCCTTATGTACTCATTTAAAGAGATATTACCACTTCTTGGATTTAAGGGCAAATTAGGTCTATCATATATTTTTGCACGAGCTATTCTTGACTTATTTGGATCATCTTGGTCGTCATCAGAGTCTCCATCAATATATCAATCTCGCTCATCCTCCACAATCATGTTGTGTAATATGATGCACGACATCATGATGGAGTTCAAATTTTCTCAACTCCATCCTCTTGTCGGTTCCTTAATGATCTTCCATCGTGCTTATAGAATACCGAAAGCTCTCTCAACATCTTTCTGGTATGCCTCTTGGTGTAAGGTAAACCACATTTCAGCGTCATCCGTAGGGTTTGCAATTGCTTGGATAAGTGTCGCCCACTTTGGGTAGATGTCATCTACCAAGTAATACCTCATGTTGTACTGACGCCCGTTGACGTAGTAGTCAAGTTGAAGTGATTTACCCTCCGTCAGGTTATTGAAGAGGGGTGAACGCCCAAAAACTAAATTATCCTTTTGGGATCATGGGACTCCAAAGAAAGCATGCCTGATCCAAGTGTTAAATGACGCAACCGCCTTTAACACAATAGTTGGCTTTCTCGATCTTCCACTAAAGCCTCATTGCCATCCGATGGGACAATTTTTCCTTTACCAATGCATGCAATCTAATGACCATATCATGCCCGGAAAGCCATAGTCTTCAGCTTTGCCAAGGAGCCGATCTAGATCTGCTCGATTTGGTTGATGGAGGTACCTCTCTTTGTAAAGTTGAACAATTGTGTGACATAATTTAGCAAGATTATCAAGGCATGTAGACTTAGAAATACCATATGTATCATCCATCGCATCAACTGAGGAGGCATAAGGCAGTATTCAGAGTCCAATAATAACCTTTTAATCATGTGAGAAACCAGGGCAACCTGTTTTGTCCAGTTTCTGTCGAAAGTATGAATTGACATGTTGGATATCATGAAGTAAACGTTCGAAGACATGACACCTCATCCAAAAGTGATGTTTGAAATCCTCTTCATTGTACATCGAGTTGAGGTTGAAGTAGTTGGTCATCAAATTATGATGCGCCATATCTTTATTTCGTGGCTTGTAACCACGACCAGCAATAGAGCCACCTTATTGAGGTTGTTCTTCAGTTGCTTCACACGCCATGACCCCAGCCATGGCTGCCATATATGATGCATTGTGCCATGCTTCATCTTCTCGTCTCATTTTCGCCCATTTATCTTCCAATTCGGAATTAGATGAGGACCCCCAGTTGGAAACCGAAGAGGATCCAAAGTTGGAATTCATTGCAAACTTGAATTGAAAAAGATATTGGAGAGGGCAAAGCTGAAGGTGTGTGAATTATAGACCAATATCCACCCTATTTATGGACATTGGAAGCTGAAGATAAAGAGTGCCACACAAATAAAAATCCTATCTAAAATACCCACAACCAATTACATCTAGACACGTGACACTCGAAATCCTATCTGAAAAATTATTGAGATTACATATCGACAAGAAATCTACATAGTTACTCACAGATTGACACGTGGCTCTCGAAGCTCAAGACGTAAAATTATTGAGATTCCTTATTAACAAGAAATCTGCAAAGTTACTCACAAATTGACACGTGGCACTCGAAATCCGAGACGTAAAATTATTGAGATTCCAACTTGAAAAATTAATGACATTCCATCTTGAAAAATTATTGAGGTAGTTTAATTTAAGTAACTATATTAATCAATTAAAATAATATATTATGTTTAGCCCTTTTACCCCTAAGTTGGAGATGGTTTTTTATCACAGGGCTATGTTTGGCCTATGGCTCTCTGGCCCCTCGATTAGAGATGGTAAGAAATATGGTTTGACACTATTCATTAAAATATTAATTTCTCGGAGGGCTATAGGGCTAAAACGAGCCATTTGGCCCTCATTCGATTGGAGATGGTCTAAGTCCATCAACTATTTTTGGAAAAATTATTTAAATTAATTCAAATTTGCCAATTTATTTCTAATATTTTATTTAATTTTTCATTGATTTTGAGTTACGTGACAGACATGTGGTACATTTTTTCGGAAATGGATCCTCTCCGGATCCCTTCCACCAAGTCCACTAATGCCACAAATCTAGACCTTTGAAATTTGATTCAACAGCTACAAACAGGGGCCCACTTTAAAAGTTATAATAACTTTAGCCGTTTGATCAAATTTCAACAGCCCGGATTTATGTCCTTGGTGGACTTGGTGGACGGGATCGGAGAGGATCCCTTTCCCATTTTTTTGTCCATTTAAATTAAGTTCATTCATTCAATTTCATCCCTAATAAGTACTAATTTCATCCTAATATAATAGTATGATGAAATTAGCACTTTTAAATGAACTTAGGGATTTATTTTGGGTACTAAAATTTTAAATCAAATTTACAAATTAAACGATGTATCACTAATAGGAATAAGTACGTTAATCAACACTTAAATAATAATTCAATTATCAACAACCACATCATTTGGTTTACAAAATATGGTTTAAAATTTTGCTTTCTACTGTTACATCATTACCATTATTTTATTGAAAATATATTTAGGACTTATTTTTCACTCATGTAATAATTCAAAGACTAAAAAATAGACATATCGCACCAAATCATAATATCTCAATAGGATTTTAATCAAATTGATTCCCATAGTTTGGTCAAGCAAATATGACCTCGTTTGGGTGAATTTCAATGCTTTTACTAGATCGGATGCTTTAAACCTTAAAAAGGGTATAAGATTAACCCATTTTGTCAATCACAGATGCTTGTGCTTCCCAATCAAATTTTAGTAATTGGTACTTAATTTCGTGGGACTTGAAAGCCGAAAATCTTCTTTTGGGGTTAGATGGATTGTGGAAGTTGTGTGATTTTGGAAGCAGCTCCACCAGTCACAAGCACAGGGCACTCCGAGAAGCCTGAAGAAATAAGTAGAGTATTCTAAAAAGCACACAATACCTGTCTATAGAGGCCCCATGGTTGAACATAAAACTTTATTTTCCAACTCGAATGCGTGATCTTCGGAGAAAATAAGCTGTATTTTTACTTATTTATGTTTGATGAGGAGTGTAGGAAGCCTTGGTCCTTTTTCTTTGTGCTTGCCTTGTGTTTTTTATTAGAGCATGTCATTGTCCATAGAAAATTCAGACTTGGAATTCTCTAACAATCCACCGCCGATTGATTGCGTCCAATCCAAGATATCTACCTACAATTTTTCAAAGCTAATTCAAAATAAATAAGATTGATTGACTCAAACACGTTAGGCAGCACTTTTGTTAATTCTAAAATTACGCCAATGATAACCGGTAATGATTTGGTGTTAACTGAAAATAAGAATATCGCTTGTATTGAAAGGAGACAAATAATACAATCAAATTCAATAGACAAATAACAGAATTAAGGAAGCAAAAAATGAAATGAATAAACAAAGCACCGTAAATATGACTAACACCGCAAGTAACGATGGAGATAAATCAACATGTGTATATAACAAATTGTTTGTCTAACAAGAGGATGGAAAGCGTTAATAATCGTTGGAAGAGGTTCTGGATTCAAATTTTACAAAAATTATTGAATATTTTGGTTAAAGAGAGTGTTATCAAGAGGATGTAAGCTGGTTTGACTAAAAAGTCGATTCAATCTCTCTTGCAGTTTAGATGAATACTAACATGTGAAAATTAGTGGGAGTAAAAAACTTGATGAAAATTAAAGTCCAATGATTCTTTTAATTCTTTGCAAAGAAAAACCGGTGCAGTGAGTCCTCTTTTTCAACCTTGGCTTTCTACCCTATGATTAATCAAATAAATGTGGAAAAAACATTTATCGAATTAACTAATAATACCAGCCGGTTCAAGCTTGACTATCCCAATTCCCAATTGTCAGAGTCGTGAGTACCTGGGATTTCCAGATACTTGAGACACTTGTACACATGATTAAGCAGCCACGGATACATGTATGTGTACAACAACAACAACAAAGTCTTTTCCCACTAAGTGGGGTCGGCTATACGGATACATGTATGTGTATATATATATATTAGTAGAGTTATCATTGTTGCAAATCTGCAATTGCTATTTATCTATTTATGGAACCTTTTGGTTCCTTATACTTTCTGTGCTCATCAGGTTGTGTAAAAAATGGCCATGCCTGTTTTCCTTCACTTGCTTGGCCTTTTACTTGTAGTTGTTGAACCACTTTGTGCAGCAGCTCAATCTGCTGCAAATATTAGCTTGGGGTCGTCCCTCACTGCATCTGAAGACACATCTAAATCGTCATGGCAGTCACCCTCCGGGACATTTGCTTTCGGGTTTCGCCGCGTTGGTGATCAAGACACCTTCTTGCTTGCCATATGGTATGACCAAATACCAGATAAAACCGTAGTTTGGTATGCAAATGGAGACGCTCCAGCACCAAAAGGATCGAAAATTGAGCTCACCGCTGATGGCCAATTCGCGCTCACCGGCCCAAAAAGCCAAGAAATCTGGAAGCCTGAGTCCGTTCTTAGTGGTGGAGTTGCATATGCTGCCATGCTTGACACAGGGAACTTTGTGCTTGCAGGCCAGAATTCTGATTACTTATGGCAGAGCTTCAAGGATCCCGCCGACACCATTTTGCCAACCCAACTGCTGGAGATTGGCGAAAAGCTGTATTCTAGGCAGACTGCAAGCAACTACTCGAGGGGAAGGTTTCAACTCCAAGTGAAACAAGATGGAAGGCTTGTTTTATATCCGGTTGCCTTGCCTACGGAGTTCGCATACCAAACATACTATGAGAGCAACACTGCCGATGCTGCCGATGATATGAATACGGGCTTTCAGCTGCTGTTTAACGAGTCAGGTTACCTCAATATTGTCACAAGGAATGGAAGTATGGTAAGCCTCACTAACAAAACAGTGTCACCAATAAGAGATTATTATTACAGAGCAACACTGGATTTTGATGGGCTTTTCACTAAATATGCTCACCCGAAATCCCCAAAAAATGGGAGCTGGACGTCCTGGTTGCCTCTCTGGTCTATCCCGGACAACATTTGCTTCGATGTAAATGGTGATTTGGGAAGTGGACCGTGTGGATACAATACCGTCTGCAGACTTGATGCAAATAGAAGACCAATTTGTGAATGTCTTCCTGGCTTTTCCGCTTTGGATTCAAATAATAAGTTCGGTGGATGTAAACAGAACAGAATACCGACTTGCGAACAAGGCAATTCAAAGCTGGAAGAATTGTATGTTATGCATGAGCTGACTAATACTTATTTTCCCTCGTCTGCAAACTATGAGCAAATACAGCCGATGAACAAAGATGACTGCACCAGATCTTGCCTTTACGATTGTAATTGTATGGTTGCTGTTGTCAAAGAAGGTAGCTGCTGGAAGAAGAAATTGCCAGTCTCACATGGAAGGCAGGACTGGAATACGTATGGGCAGGCGCTGATCAAATTACCAAAGTCTGACGCTGCTTTAGAGGATCCACTTTTTCCAGTCTCAGACACGGGAAAAAAAGATCAAAAAACTCTCATCTTAGTAGGAGGACTTCTTCTAGGTAGCTCTGTGGTTCTTAACTTTATATTTCTTGCAGCGATTTCTTTGGTTTTCTTTTATGGATACAAGAAAAGACATAATCTTACTAGTAGTGCATCAAGTATTATGGAAGCAAATCTACGCTCGTTTACTTATAAAGATCTAGAAGAAGCCACAGATGGATTTAGGGAAGAACTTGGAAGAGGTGCCTTTGGCATTGTTTACAAAGGAATCATATCATCCATCAGTTCAACAAACTACGTCGCAATCAAGAAGTTGGACAAAATGGCGCAAGAAGGTGAGAAGGAATTCAAAGCAGAGGTGAGAGCAATAGCCAGGACTCACCACAAGAACTTGGTCAGATTGCTTGGGTTCTGTGATGAAGGGCCAAACAAACTTTTGGTCTATGAGTTTATGAGCAATGGAACATTGGCCAGCTTTCTCTTTGGGATTTCAAGGCCCGATTGGAACAAACGGATTCAAATTGCATTCGGGATTGCAAGAGGACTCATGTACCTGCATGAGGAGTGTAGCATGCAGATCATCCACTGCGATATCAAGCCCCACAACATACTTCTAGATGATTCATTCACGGCAAGGATTTCGGACTTTGGATTGGCAAAGCTTCTGCTGAGCGATCAAACTCTTACTAATACAGTCATCAGAGGGACCAGAGGATATGTTGCACCAGAATGGTTCAGGAATATTCCGATTACTGCAAAGGTTGATGTTTATAGTTATGGGGTCATGTTATTGGAGATCATCTGCTGCAGGAGGAGCCTTGAAATGGAAAGGGAAAACGAAGAAGAAGTGATACTAACGGATTGGGTTTATGATTGCTACAAGGAAAAAACATTAAAGAAGCTTATAGAAGATGATGAAGAGGCAAGAAATGACATGAAAAGGTTGGAGAGGCTAGTCAGGGTTGCAATTTGGTGCATTCAAGAGGATCCGTCCTTAAGACCGACAATGAAGAAGGTTACGCAGATGCTTGAAGGAGTGGTTGATGTATCCGTGCCTCCATGTCCCCTTTTTAGTTCAGTTTGCTGAAATCTACGTTATGTTTTGTATAATTCATTTTAGTAGTGTACCACATTAATGGCATGTATTTCTATAAGATGACAACAACCTTGTTCTCCACAATTTTCTGTTGATATAGGTTAAACACAAAGTTTCTATAGCAATTGAAACAAGAACACATGTATAAAATACTATTTGTATTAATGAAAGGGTTACAATCTCTTTATAAACTTAAATCCTTTGATTCAACCTCTAAAGATGTAATGCATGCGTTGATGATCCAAGGGTCGCAATGTCTTGATCTTGGATAAACAGATATCGCAAGGTTTTGGCTTTTGGTAATAGAGGAGCCGGCACGTGTAGGGGTGCTTGGCAATTCTTCACAAGTGTGGCAAAGAATGCAGGGAGCATGTCATGTCTATAATTTGTGCGACACATGGTGCATGTCACGTAAGCCCTAGCATATCGAAATTTAATGTGTTGGTGAAATAAATGTTCACCGCAATTTCAATGTCTACAAAATTATAAGCCTGGTTTCGTTATCAATCTCATGGGAGATAGCCTTCAGTGTAATGTTATTGCCTCCTTGTAAACATTGTTCAATACTTGTTTGAAACAAGTTTTGACAGGGAGAGATGCCTCTATTTCATGGTATTAGAGCATGTTGTCTCACGTATGAAACCCAACGACCACACGTGTTTCATATTATTTCGTTTGTGTTGTCCACGTGTTAGACTTGAAAATTCGTCACACTTTAGGAACGTGTTAATTAGAATCAATCTTACATTGATGGGAGAAGTGAAATTGCATAAACTTAGAAGAAATATGACTACTCCCTATATTTTCAATTAGTTTTATGATGAAACTTCAACTTTCTTCATAGTCGAGGGACCACCTCTAGCGGATCCATCTGCCGTGTCCAAAGAGACAAGACCAAAGGGGCAAGAAGGGACGCGAGGGTGTTGAGTTCGTTGGAGGAATTGGACTTTGAGAGGAGCAACTGGTCCTTGGTGGGACCGTTACAGCCGGTCGTTATCAAGAACAACACGACCTGGATGGACAGTGGCGAGTCAACCATGTTCTTCTCTTTGCCTTCAGTTATGAGCAGTTCCTTAGTAATTGTGAGTGTGACATGGCTTAGGTTGCTGATGGATTTTTTGAGATCGACGGTGAAACTGACCGTTAATGGAGGAGAAGACACCATGCAAGCAAGTGGGATATAGTTAGATAAGGATCAAACCCTAACACAATCACGGTTGAATAACAATTTTTTCAGTACAACGATATAGTTTACACTAAAGACAGAAAGGAGTTCACGGTTGGATAACGAATTAAGCCTTAATAATTAACTAGCTTTTTTATATATAGGAAGAAACATTTGACCTTTCGATTCCATTTCTTACTTTCCGCACAAGTAAATAGGAAAATGATCCTCTTCGGATCCACTTTGTGGGGATCCAACATCTTAGTCATTCATCGTACAACGTACGGTCAGTTTTCGTCAGATACTATTTACATTTAATTTTAAATAAAAAAAATTAAATAATTTCTGACCACACGATATATGATGAACGGCTAAGATATGGGGATCTAATCCGGATGGGATCCAATTCCAAGTAAATACTTACCTTCATTTCGTTAAGTACGTAGGGTTAATGAAAAATAATAAATCTTTTATTAGTTTCTTTTTTATCTCCCCACTCTTGACTTTGTGAAGAAATTGGTGGGGAAGGGAAGGAAAGATGGTCATAATTTATTTTCCATTATTTGTTTTTCTTTTTATTAGTTATAGTAAATTCTAACCTTTGTAAAAAAATTCAATTATAAAGAGTTGTTTTATGAGGTAGCACCTCACATGTTGTTCTTTTTTTTATTTGTTTTATTTATTTATTATCAAACGATAGATTTGTTAAATTAGGAAGCTAACAGGGTTCGAACTCGTCATGGTGCAAGGACAACAGCTCGCTATCACTAAAAATTATCTTAATACATCTCATTTAGTTACCTAAACTACCCCTCACACACCCACACACTCCGCACATCACATGCCAAAATCAATCTCAAGTCTTCGTCTTCACCACGACCACAGCAGACAGAATTCTTGTGTACGAACATCACTGGAGAAGAATATTCATGTACAAACCCATTTTCTATTCAATGTTGTGCTATACCAGTGTACTGATAAACCTACAGAGAAAAATTGAAGAGAACACGAACATTTCCTTCCATATCCTTTTTTTTTATTCATACATACATGAACATTTCCTTCTGGGAGGTCTTGCTATTAAAGTAGAACAAAGTCAGCAGCAACCTTCAAGTATAACCAATCTCTTTCTAACAAAAATAGAAGTCCAAGCATGATTAAGTGTAATAGATTCCTTTTATTTGTTAGTAGAACACCACTGGGCGTATAAGTTGTTGTCAAAATCGCAATCACTTATATTTGGTTCCTATTTGTAGCAGGATCGTGTGTGTTCGTGATTTGCGTATTCTGGATACAGGGAAGCAAGTTGCACTGAGAAATTTTCCTGGCAATGTCTAGTTAATAGCATTTACGGGACCTAAATACTCATTCATATTAGTACAAAAAACATATTTAGTATTAAATTCTAACATGAAGTGTTTTCAACAATATGTGGACCGTTAATAAAACAATCATAAAATCATGATTGTGTCAATTTCGGTCATCATACACAACCACAAAAGTTGTACATAGCATTGTTTTTTATGGTTCCAGGATTTTTTGGTGGTTCAACCAGTCCCTACATCTCTACCGTTGTTGTCCCCGTCTTCATGGTCCCCTCCCCCTCCGTCATGGCTGAAAGTTAACGTTGATGGGGCTGTCCATGGCTCAAACAAAACAGGGCGGGGGGTATTTGGGGTGGGTTTTCGTGACAACAATGTGAATTTGTGGGGGGTTTTGTCCGCAGAGTTTCTCCAGTTAGGAAAGGTCTTTGACTTGCTAATTCAGTTTAGTCTGCTAATTTAGTAGCACATAAACCAGCTGGTATGGTTTTGTTTTTCAATCTGGATTCTTGTTGGTTTGATGATCAACCGGACTTAATTTGTGATGTCTTACTTATTGAATTACGATCATTTTTAAACGAAAAAGCCGTACAGTTTCAACCAAAAAAACATTTGTTTTTTTATGGTCGCACCTTTACACATTTTACCAAACAAATAACTGCTTTTGTATAATTGATTATTTTCACAAAGATAATGTTAGGGAGATCAAATTTTTATATCAAATTTGCAAATTAAATGAAGTGTCACCAATAAAAAATAAGAATGTTCATCAACATTTAAGTAACAATCCAATCATCAACAACATAATGTGATTTACAAAATTTGATCTCTCTAACATTATCATTTTCACAATATAACATGAATATTTTTTTTTAAACACAACAATAAAGAAATAACCCCTAAACTCGATGCCAAAAATTATAATTGTTGATGCACAAAATCAGTGAGACTTTGGAACAACGTAAAATGTCAAGTTTGTAACATTCACACGGTTACTCCAGTCACCTAGTATGGATAATATGTAAAGAGATAGGGATAGGGAAGCAAACACAAGGTGTACCTAGTTTATCCTGAGTTTGGCTACGTCTATGGGTATAGGAGTTCTCATTAATAGTGAAAAGTTTACATAATACATAGGTTTAAGCATAATCATCATTAGTGGGTTCTAATGACAAGTTTAAGTACAATAATGACATTAACCTCTAATTGTAGGAGAATGATCTTCTTTTATAGTTAAAAAGAGTCACTCGCTTCCCTTCACGATTGATGTGGGACTCTAAGGCTTTATTCTGATGTTGACACGTGTTAAGTTGTGATTGGTCTTTTGATTAGAGAGGAACTCATGTGCTTCGGCAAAAGTGCCTCATCATGAACCCTTCAGTGGGCCTAAAGGTAGAAGTTGACTGATACTTGGTAATTCGGGATTGGTAAAGTATAGTACAACAATAGTTATATTAATATTGTGGATAGAGTGGCTAGATAATTTTAGTGAAGAATGAGAGAATTTATCCCAAAGTTTAAACATTATAGAATATTATTGATAAGGAAAAACGTTTTATAACACTAAAATAGAGATGCTGAAAATAGAAAAAAAAATTCGAATTAGTTAAAATTGGTAGACTAAAATAATAATTCAAAATTAATGGAGTTCTATTAAATTTAATATATTTTGTATATACTCAAACCTCCTTTCTAATTTGATAAAAAAAAAAAAACTAATGAAAAGAGCTTCAAATCTTTGCATTTTAATAAAATAACCATTTACTAACTTTATTTAATAATAACGGCAAAAGAATAAAAAAACACAAAAAACCCAACTCGTGCTGGGTGCGTCCCCCCCACCCCCACTCCCCCTTTCCACACTCCTCTCTTTTCTCCCATTGTCAACTGCATTAAGAGATTTTATTTTATTTTATTGCTTAGAATAGGAAAAAAACTTCAAATTAAATTCCATTTTCCATTTTTATTTTTGTGGTGTTCTTTCCTAGTAGTAGTTAAGATGACGAGAGATTTTTTAATGTGTTTGGACACGGGATGCTATACCACGTGTCTCTATACAAGTTGTGAGATTCTTGTGTTAAAAAATTAATAACATAAAAAGTAAAATTTTCCACCACTTACATAATAACACATGGTGTACCACTTGTGTTACGGGCACAAGGAAAATTTTCTTCAAGATGACACTTAAGATCAAGAAATTGGATGGAGAGCTACATTTATTATCGTAGGTATGTAAAAAAAAAAGTGAGGGAAGATACTATAATCTCGTAAGGTGTATTTTCATGTATATAATAAATAATATATAAAACTAATATATGTAGATTTCACTCTTACCTACTTAAGGCAAAAGAGATAATATACATACACACAGTGTAGTACCGTTAAGTTTTATAAATAATGTAGTACGGTTAAGTTGTCATAAATTTCATAAATAGTGTAGTACTGTTAAGTTTCATAAACAGTGTAGTACCGTTAAGTTTCATAAACAGTGTAGTACCGTTAAGTTTCATAAGCAGTATAATAAATTTCATAAACAGTACAGTACCGTTAAGTTTCATAAATATTGTGGTAAGTTTCATAAATAGTATATTTGAGGACGTGCAAGTTCAAATTTTTTTTTAATATTAAAATTATATCTTTTTCATTAAAATTTAAGTTATTTTATCATTTTTTATTAAAATTTAAAAATAAAATTATAACATAATTTTTTGTTAAAATAAATTTAGCTTAAGCCCAAAATCCACCCCCCCCCCCAACTTCCTTTCCAAAAAGGCCAAAAATAAAAAAAAATAAAAAAACTCGCTGCCTATTACAATTTACAATACTGTGAAGAGGGTGTGTGGGTATTCTTCTCCAGTGGCAGTGATTTCTCCTCCGAGTCCGACCGCCGCTAATTTCACTCTCTCTACTCTTCAAAACCCCACTTCTCTTCCTCCAATTCTGTTCCCTGCAGAACATACAAGGTACACTCTTGAATCTTCCACAACGACGACGTTTAGCTGCCGGTATCTTGCGGCGTCGTTTGGTGTTGTTCGGACCTCAAAGTCTCTGGGTGTGTTTTGGAATCGCTGCCAAGTTCAGCGCTAGAAATTGTTGGTTTTTGGATTTGGGTTTGATTGAGGCTGTATCAACTGCTCATGGACTACGAGCCCTACGATAGCAGCGGTGAGCTTCCCTTTCAAAGATTCCTTTTTCCAGTAATTAGGGTTTTTGAAGTGATTTCTCTGCTTACTTTTGGGTTTTGGGTTACTTTTTTCTCATAATTCTCATAAAAAAATCTGTGTATGCCACTCGGAACAGTAATTGGGGGTTTTGGGGTTTGTTGCAGTGAAGGAATTAGGGTTTTCCCCAATGTAATGATGGTGTTTAGCAACTTAAATTCACTTTCTTGGCTACTTTAGATGTGTTTTTCTGACACAGCTTGACCATTTGAATTTGGAGCTTTAGTGTCAGCGATTGTAGATACTTTCACATCGAAGTAATTTACTTCATTACTATATACAGTCATATACATTAATGAGCTCTTCTTGCTTTTTGGAACTTGGGTTATTTTGGGATCGATGATTTATGCGTTATTAGGTTGCTGAAGGAGAATTTGAAATCGATTTGTTCACAATTCAGACCATTCATTAGTTGACACAGAGTGAGGTTTTGATTGTTTCAGACAACTTCATACTTAGATAAGAGAACGTGAAAGAAAGAAGAAGTGGTAATTAAATACAAATAATTGAACATATACTTGAGAATTAACATCGGTAAAGCTCTAGACTGTCTGTTGTTCCTTTGCAAATACCGCTGCAGACCATATTCCAGAGTTTGAGGGAAAAAAGAACGAATCTTATTGGATTTTGAGACATTGGTTTTTCCAAGTTCTTTTCAATGCACAAGAAATTATTTAATAAGAAAAAGAAATCATCTTTTTAAGCATGATTATGTATTTATTTATATTGGAGTAATATCACCCAAAGCAAATATGCATGTTATGGCATAGGGTCACCAAAAGTATATGCTGACAGAAAAGAGCCCTTGAATCTTCAAGGAGAGCACCTACACTGTGTATGTGGGTTATTACTCTGTGCACCATTTGAACTTCTTTCCAGTGTTGGTAGGCACTAGTTTATGTACTTGAAGTCCGGTTTATATTTAGTTTCAGTTATTAAACAAAATCTACTATGGTTAAGCATATTCCATGCCATACCTGAGTTACAATATCTTGTGAAATAAAAACCTATGTTATGATGTATTACACTTTCTTTTCATTAGTATCTCTTTTCACACATTTCTTTTCCCATCTCCTTCGTATCTCACCATTGCATTTGGGATGTATTTATCTTACAACATGCTTCCTGTACCATACAATACATTATGACATATACTAGCAGTTTAACTGGTTTAATATAAATATGACTTGAGAGGTTCTGGATGTTTATTTATATTTTTTGGTAAACTGGGGGGAAATGAACTCCAAAACCTACTACACTAAGTTATCCATACAAATCAATGGGTCCTGGAAACCCCTAATACATTACCAACTAACCTAGATCCAACCCAGTAAGGAGGATCATCAAAATAAAAAACGCCTAAACCCAAATTAAAACTCCAATTAGCTAGACAATTTGCCACACAGTTTTTCTCCCGGTAGACATGGCGAACTTCACAATTATTGATATGTCTCATTAAAGAACAGCAGCTAGCAACCAATGCAGAAAGAGGGTGAAAACTTGCAAGCACATGCATCTGGATAAGCTGAACAGCAATGGCGGAGTCCATCTCAACTATAAGATCACTTATACCTTTATCAACAGCAAGTTTGAGTCCCAACAATGATCCCCAAATCTCTAATTCTAAAATTCCTCCCTTGCCCAAATTAACAGCAAGCCCGCCCATCCAGTCACCATGAGAATCTCTTATGACACCTCCCGGTCCAATCTGACTAGACATGGTCCTCTGAGAACCATCAACATTATGTTTAAACTTACAGGTCGCAGGAGGCTCCCAAGCAAGGAAGACCTGAAACTTTCAAGCTTTCTCAGAATTAAAATTAGAATCCATAGACCATCCGGTAACAGCCGGGGAGTTGATCTTCTTGGGGACCGGATGTTTGTTTATTTAAGTTATACTTGATATGGGAAAGGTAGTTTAATGTATCTCAAGGATCTAATTAGTCTGGAAGTTGTTCTCTAAAGATGAGTTTTCTGAACGTGGTCTTCGTTTTACAAATAAAACTCTTGGTGCAGCTAATCAGCCGTTTGAATTTGATGTGTAGAAGGGAACCTCCAGTTTAGTTGTAAACTTCAGCTATTTTTTGGTGAAGTTGGCAACTTCAGCTTTTTTTTGGTTGAAATTGCCAACTTATTTAGTTCTTGGGTTTGTACCTATACCAGAAGTTAGAGATTTGAGAATTTTTATTGCAATTTAACTTTTTTCTATACATTTTCACTCAAAAGACATATCAAATAGAAGCTTGTAGATCTGTGTCCATGCGCTGAATCTAAAATCAGATGATTGCATCCCTCCTTGCTTGTCATGCATAGACAATGCATCGACAACCCGCAATATATTCTCTTTTTAATTTAGTGTTCCATATTTCTGTGAATTCTGGTCATGCTGCGTGTCTCATTTCATTCTCATTATTGATTTTTGTTGCATCCATTCTAAACCCAAAAAAACAATTGCAGGAACTGATGACGATTTTCCTCCATCACGCCAACATAGAGTTCCCAGAGGGGGTCGCGTTACAGGGAATGGAAGATCTGGTGGGGGTTCTGTCCCATATCCTAGGATGTATGGTGAAACTGACATGGAAGCACAAATTCACCAGCTTGAACGAGAAGCATACAGTTCAGTTCTAAGAGCCTTTAAAGCTCAAGCTGATGCCATTACTTGGGTACTTTTGTGATCTATTTTTTCATGGATCTAATTTTAATTTGTTTGACCAGGTTTAAATGAGTGCTACATATATGTATTTTCTCAGGAAAAGGAAGGTCTGTTAACAAACCTTAGAAAGGAGTTGAGGTTATCAAATGAGGAGCACAAAGAACTTCTAGGACGGGTTAATGCAGCAGATGATGTCATAGAGAGGATAAGGTCTGATATATTGAAGAATCAAGATACAAGCTTTTCGTTTAATTGAGAAATGGGACCTATTCATTAGATTTTTTTTCTTCTTGTCTTTTAATGGGTACTGTATTGGGCAATGCCCACAGGGACTGGAGACAGGCTGGTGGGGTTCAATCGGGCATGTTGAGTACTGTTCAAGCAGTGCATGATCCAATACCTAGTCCTACTGTCTCTGTATCACGCAAGAAACAGAAGATGACCCAATCAGTACATACGCAGTCCTTTGCTGGGCCAACACCACCATTTCATCCACAGGCAGTTACCACATCCCACCAGCCATCTTCATCTACTGTAAAACGAGGATCTGTCCCAGCCCCAGCCTCAGGAGCTAAGGGCAAGAAACATAAACCTGTGAGTTGAATATGGAGTAAAACAAAAAAACAAGTATGCAGGTTATTTATTCACTTATTTATTTGTTTTCCTTCGGTCACATTCTGTTAACAGGGTCAAATTTTGCCCGGTGCTTCTTCAATGAAGCAGTACCCTTCCTCGGGTCCAACAGGAAGGGGTCAAGTTTCGCATAGAGTTTCAATTGGTGACGTTGTAAATGAACCTGCTGAAGGAAAGACAAATGATTCCTTGATTGGGAGGAAAGTAAGGACTAGGTGGCCCGACGACAACACCTTTTATGAAGCCATTATAAAAGACTACAATCAAGCAGAGGTATCTTTTGCTCTTACAAGTGTTCAAGGAGTTTGAAGTAATGTAAAGTCATGTACCTGACATTTGTTCATTTCTGAATTTTAGGGACGGCATCATCTAGTCTACGATATTAATTCGGCAAATGAAACATGGGAGTGGGTTAATTTATCAGAGGTATGCTTTGCAATGAAGTTATATTGCTAACATATCGTTTTCATTACGTTGTGTTCTGCAAATTATGCATTGTAAAGCTATAAATACCAGAAGCTTATTTAAGTGGTAAGATGCTATGTTGGAAGCTGAATTGTCAACTCTTGAATATAAGTGACTACTTGAAGTTTGTTTCTTCTTGAAATTTAAAAAAAAATATATATAATAATGTTATAATACTGTACTTAGTGCTTAATGTTCTCTGTGTATGTACTTCAAACATTCTGACACGACTTCCTAAAAATTTTCTTTAATGAATTTTTGTTGCTTCTTGCTTTCTACTCTTTGTTAGCCAATGTTTTCTGAATTGTCCTATTTGTCCAATTGGGTGCTGTTAGCTGATTTATGCTACATGATTAATGCAACATGCTCCCAGTAGTATTTGCCTTTTGCTCCTACTAAGTAGCTTCTGTTCGTTCCGTTGCCACCATTACTTGATTCAAAAAGTTTGTTAATTTTTTGGTGTACAAACTGTGAAGTATAAAAGGTATCTGACAAGGGACATTGATGTGAACTGATAGGAGAGACAGAAAGGACAAACTATGGGTTTCAAGGGTCTATATATAATAGTTAGTCCAAACTCAATAAGTAAAGCCTTGTAATATTACAGGAACAGCTTAATGGTTAAGAAATCATAATTAGGGCCCATTTGGGAGTGATTCTGGGAGGGAGGTGCTTCTCCCCGGAAGTCATTCTGGCCCTTCCAGATTCAGTCCCAAATGATCACTTAATCAAACAAGCACCACATAGTATTAACATCCCAACATTAAAAGAAATTATGAAATTAGAAGCGGGTGCAACTAAGCACCAATGAAAATGCTCATAGGATATCCATCTCACTCTAGCTATCACATTGAAATCCTTATCATGTATGCTTAGAATATTTCAACGCCCATAATAACTATGAAAAAGTAAAAAAAGAAAAAGCTTGACAACTTAATCGACTGAATACTAACTATATTTTGTGGTTACAATACTAACACTATATTTGGTTCACACTTAATGGGAGAGAATGAACAGGGTTACATGAAGGAAACAGTAATTCATTTGGTTTTCATGTCCTGTTTCTGAACGATGACTGAGTGGATTTTTCTCACTCAATGATGATATATAAATTTCAGATGTTTTACATACTTTCTTATTTTGGCTTAATTCCTTGTGCAGATATCTCCAGAGGATATTCAATGGGTAGGTGAAGATCCTGGAATCTCTCATCGTGGGGGTTATAGTGGATCTGGTCATGGGATGAATAGATCTGTAGGCCGTGACAATGTTCCAGTTCCTGGAAGAGGTAGAGGGACCCCAAAGGGTCAAACAAGAAAAGATTTTCCGCCATCACAAAATGGCATTGGAAAGAAGGCACCGGACAATATCCAGTTACTTCACACAGATACTTTAATTAAGGAGGTCAGTAAAAGCTGGTTAATCCATATGTAGTCAATATATTTATTTTTATTGGCCCGATGCATACTAAAGTTTTGTTAAATTTGAACAGGTAGAAAGGGTCTTTGGTGAAAACCATCCAGACTCTGTTGAAATTGAGAAAGCAAAGAAAGTGTTGAAAGTAAGAAGGATAATCTTAGAAATATTTTTTTCTTCTTTTGTTCCATTTTCAAGTTTCATCACAAGTTTTTCGTTCTTATTTCCAATACTGATCTATTGACTTTGAGCAGGATCATGAACAAGCACTTATTGATGCAATTGCAAAGCTTGCTGATATTTCTGATGGTGAAAGCGGTAAATTATTGCTTATCTTGTTTTGTTTTTCATAGCTTACCTTGTTGCATATAAGCTTGTAATTTATTAGTGTCCACCAAGTCTGCTTATGCAGTTTCATATGAGCCCCTTATGAATTCCGCATCATTTTACAGAAATTTGCATCAAACACAGAAGTGAGGACTTCATTTTTCTTCAAGAGTTTGTTTATGAATAATCTGGCACTAAATATATAATGTTCTGGAAATAGAATAGACATATCTGAAATGCATGGATGGGAACAAATACTTGGGTGTGTATCATCTGTTTGTAGCTCAATTATTTTTCAGTTAATAAATTATTTCAGAAGGCGTCTTCTGTATACATGTGAACTTCTTTTAGTTTTATTTCCTCACTTGATGCCTCGTGTAGGACCTTTGCCTTTAAACAGCTGATGGTAGCCAACACACTTGTCACACGGGCAACCAATGGAATTGAGAAGGATAGATGGCTGGTTTTAAAATCTGAAGCAGTCAGCAGTCAAAAGCGCATGAAAGACTGGAATAATAAGAAGGAAATGAGGGTGCGGAAGTGAAACAGAAATGGCTTGAAGTGAAGGCCTCCTTTTTGTACAATGTTATATCTTTTTATTATATAACTCGACACCCCAACATGTTAAAACTCTGGGGCTTGGGCCTTGCCACGATAGGTGTTAAGAGTTACTGCAGTCGGGCAATAATTCGTTATAAATAGTGGGCCGGCATTGTTAACCTAGGAAAGAGCTGATGCCTTTTGTAACATTGTTTCTAGTGTTGGTGTGCTGTCTTGTGTAAATTATTTTTACTGCCATTGCATACATATGAGATCATGTACTCTCTCACTCTCTATCGGTTCCGGTTCCGGTTCCAGTTCAACTCGAGGAGTCCCTCCCAAGTTTGTACTGATAACTCGAGAATATACGGAGATCCTGTTAACTTCAAAAAGGGAAAACACAGTGCAAATACTATTTTTGATTTATGCTTCAAATAAAATTAAAAAAAAAAAAAATCTCTTGGCTTGGTGCCGCTTCTCTTTTCGATATCGGAAGAGGTTTGAAAGTTTCTCAAATCTCTCATGTTGTCCTCGTAAGATAAAAAGTTTCTAAACTCGTGTAAGAAGTGCATCAGATGCAAAGTTGGGGCATGTTTACTTGGTACAAATCAGAAGGAATGAATGTGCTATGAAAAATCTCACCTTGGTTTTGGATCATACCTTTATTTTTCCGATGTGCCCTACCCAAACTCAATGAGACTTTGTCTCGTTTTTCATTCCCTTGGTTGTTACTTGTTAGTAAACAAACACATGAATAAAATGATGCTCATATTCTACAAGTGCATTACTTGAAGTGAGCATGTTGAGGTTCATTGATTGCAATAGCCTATTCGTGAACTTAAGCGGGTTCACAAAAAGTTGTTCTAAAAACAAAGGAATCATTGTGGTCGCAGACTCGCGATCCATCCAAATTTGCCAATACAAAATTAAAATTTCCCACCCTTTAAAGGCAACTGCTAGGAGTTTGTAGCTCAAGTAGTTAAGAGCATTTACCTCTGCACCGATAAAGGGGCCCGTGAAGGGGAATTGGGTTATCCAACTTAATCCTATGTTTTCTGAAAGCAAAAGTTTGTCTTCGTTTCCTCTGATAAAAGCGCTTTAGCTTGGTTGCTTGCTTGTCACTCGATTGTTATTTTGCTGTTGAGCAATCACCTCCTCCCCTCATGCGTTTCGGTTTTTACATTTCTCGTAAACTTCTGTGAGTTGTGAGCAACCACATTTCTATGCACCCCATAAATTAGCAAAATTAGTTGGTCACGAAATAGTTGTGAATCGTTCACGTCGTACTAAAATTCGAATGTACATATTTCTCATAAACTTTCTACTTGTGGTATCAAGAAAATGGCCTCTTGCAGGTACTTATTCAACTCTTGCATTCAGACTTATCACGTGCTTGTTTTTAGAGAAAAACATCCTAGTAAGACCAGACGCTATTCAGTAACGAGATGTAAAAGTAGTTGCCGTCGAACTTCAGATGAAGAGAAATGTACCACAAGGAAGCTTAAAATTCTAATTGCTGGTGGGGGTATTGGTGGGTTAGTTTTGGCGTTGGCAGCAAAACGCCGAGGGTTTGAAGTGCAGGTGTTCGAGAAGGATCTGAGTGCAGTGAGAGGGGAGGGACAACACTGCGGTCCAATTCAACTTGTAAGTAGTGCTTTGGCAGTGCTGGAAGCCATTGATGAGAATGTTGCAAAGCAAATCATGGGTGCAGGTTGTGTTACTGGCAATAGGACCACTGGCTATGCCGACGGTCATTCAGGCGAATGGTAAGCTTGCCTTATATATGTTATATCTTCTGAGATGCTTATGTTATGCACTTACACACCTTCTGAGATGCTTATATATGTTATATCTATCTTTTCGTGTTGATTAGAGATAATTACACTTGCACATCTTCAGAGATGCTTATGTTATATCTGGTCATAAATATCATATCTTTAAATTTTGCTTCAGGATTACAAAGTTTGATCTTTCCTCCTCAGCTTTGAGTAAGGGCCTTCCCCTCACTATCATAATATGCAGGATGGCGCTGCAAGATATCTTAGTCAATGCAGTTGGGACTGAAATTGTGAGAAACAAATCCAAAGTGGTGGACTTCATTCAAGACCCAAGCAAGGTTGAATTATGTGACTAATCCAGTTTCTATTTCTTCCAACTTCTGCACAAATTGCCGGAAACCCTCACCTTGTTTCTGTTGATTATAACATAGGTTACAGCTATCCTTGAAGGCGGGGAACAATTTGATGGTGATGTTTTAGTAGGAGCTGATGGAATTTGGTCAACAGTAATCATCTCTTTTCTGAACCATTTCCAGTGTATCTGTTCTATCCACTTCTCAGCTGCCTAAACTGTTGTTTCTTTGTCACTCAGGTCCGTTCGAAATTGTTTGGGAGACAGGAAGCAAAATATTCGAGTTACGCATCCTACAGTGGAGTGACAAACTTTGTGCCACCATATATTGATAGCGTTGCGTAAGTAATAGATATGACTGGAAAATAGTGGTAACTAATTTATGCACACAAATGAGCAAGTAGCTGGCTTGTTTTAATTCACCAGTCTTGGCCTTGTTGGTTTGAAGGTACCGGATCTTCATCGGATTGAACCAGTGCTTTGTTGCAACAGATGTTGGGGGTGGGAAGGTACAATGGTTTGCCAATCATAGAGACCAGCCTATCAGCAATGAACCTCCTCAAGGAACACTCATCTCTCCCACTTTTCTCTGTATCTGACTCGAAATTATGCGTTGAATTTTGATTTGATGATTAAATTTCAAATTACTACTCCTACAATCAAATTATGACGCCTTTAGATGCTGCAGGTAGAAAGAAGATGCTCCTGGAGATATTTGGTAATTGGTGTCCTGAAGTGGTTGCAATAATTCAGGAAACAGCAGAGTCCACAATTTTACGGCGAGCTATCTATGATAGAGACATGATTTACACCTGGGGAACCGGCCGTGTTACTCTGCTGGGTGATGCTGCTCATCCCATGCAGCCGAATCTAGGTCAAGGGGGTTGCATGGCAATTGAGGTACGTTATTGTTTATGTAAATTAATTTAATCCTTAGCATGCTGCATGTCAGAAAAATGGAAACAAGTTGAGATCTTTTTGAGCTCCCACGGGCTCATTACTCGGGTGATTTTGTGTGCAGGACTGTTACCAACTTATACATGAGCTTGATCAAGCTTCCAAAACTGAGTCAGATTTTCAAATATCGGATGAAATTGTCTTGGCACTAAGAAGGTAAATCGTAGCCGTAGGAAAACCCTGTCTCTAGCAAAGCAATCTCACTCCTAGTTTTAGGCTTGAGTATTGTTGAAATCTTCCAAATTTACAAAATTTTGTCTAAATTGAAAGATCTTCAAAACTCACTTGTAAGTTTTGCGTTCATGATGACGATGGTGAAGATCAGATATGTAAAGAAAAGAATGTGGCGTGTTGGCATAGTGCACGCAGCCTCCCGAATGGCATCAAGAATGCTTGAAAGTTACCAACCTTACATAAAGTTTCGAACCGGTCCTGTGGCTGTAAGTTTTCCCCAACTAGTTACCTGCTTCAACCTCCTGAAAGGTTTTCCTAATTTTCATTTAATGAAATATAAAGTAATTTAAATGTAACTGATTTCATTTTGTTCTTGTGGTTGCAGCATCTACTGACTCGGCAGATAACACACCCTGCAATTCCTCTATTTCGTGCATTTCTTCAATTTTTTATGCCAAAGTTTATGGCTTGGATGATAGCAGGGGATGGGTAAACGTAGAAATCTATCTCAAAATTTATGTGCGCGCGCATGTTTATGTGTGTGTGTGTGTGTGTGTGTGTATCACCATAGCTTCTCAACATCATAACCTCCTTAGTAGACAGTGTGAAAATGCTGCAAATTTAATTTATTGCAAAACTTGAGGAAGCGGAAACAGATAGCAAACTTATATCATTCATGTTGCTCTTGTTGGTGCAGGTTATTTCTCAAAGGGGAGAGAACTGAATGCAAAGTGCAGGATAAGTAGCAAACTTATGCCATTTGCCGAAGCGCTCAAATATCATCTACCCTCTTTGGATCTACTTGGGCGACGATTTAAACCTGTTCCCACCACTAAAAGATTTCGGTGGGTTCTATAAATAAACATCAATTGAGACGGTGAAAAGCAAGTCCAAGGCTATCATATCACTATTCGTAATATTCACATAAAAACATAAATTCGAGTTTAGAATTTATACAACCTCCTTAAACGTGTACATCACAATCGACACCCACAAAAATCATGTCCTACATATTTAAAGAGGAGGTTTTTCTTGTTAAATAAACAACATCCAGCTTGCTCCATGACGTTTTTAGCCTCTCTCCATAACGTTTTTGTAGGAACTGGAACCCCTCCGGATCCAAAAAGATCTGAGCCCATTAATCAATGCGTCCGGACCATTGAAATTTGATTTAACAGCTACAATTATTATAACATTCAGAGGGGCCTCCTGTTCGTAGTCGTTTGATCAAATTTTAATAGCTCGAATGAATGATTGGTGTGCTCAGATCCCTTGGATCCGGAGGGAATCCAGTTCCGTTTTTATATAGTGATCGTGTCACAATTGGGAGAGGGTGTGAGCCATAGGCCCATAAGAGCATCTTGCCGGTCCCTTTTTTGCCCTTGCAATTAGGTTGAATTGCCTCCAACCCAAAAAAGTTGCCTTTTCAGCTGAGCTTGCTTCCTTTGCTTGGGCTTGAGCCCTATTGCTACAGTAATTGCCACTGTGTGGCCCATCCAATTGCATAGTCCAAAGCAGCTGCCACTTTATTCTATGCTCTCTTTCTAACGGTCGTTTAAATTAGGCCACTGGATTTTTAACGGGAAAAAAAAAAAACGAAAACTAACGAAAAGTTCAAAAAAACTTATGTTTTAATGAAAAGTCTTTTTTAAAGGTATAGTAAATAGTACCAGAGAAAGATATAAATGTGGTTTTTCATTAAAAGTGAATAGTACTAAAAGTGTTTTGTTAAAACTCCCTAAAAAAATGCAACTTTTTCTGCAGCTTCCATGGAGTCAGATTTGGGCCATCCAACGATAATAATTTTAAAAATCAATAGGTAGGATTATTTTAAAGTTAAAATTCTCAAAAATAAATAAATAAACAGTAAATACCCAACATATTCTTCATTCTCCACACCACAACTCAGTATTTACTATTTAGTTTTACTACAATGTCCGATATTTATTTGCTACCTCCCAAGAAAACATAAAGAAAAAAAATAAAAAATATACATGTGAAAGTAATTGCCTTAGCCCTTGGCGTCCCTCTTCCCCAACAATTGGACTTGCCCAAAGACAATTATTATTTCCTTGTCCTTGTCCTTGACCTTGACTTGTCCTCCTAAAAACGGATGGAGATGCACTAAGCAAAGTACGATGCATGTGCACCTTAAGCTATTTTAGGGAACAACTTGTCTTTAGAAAACATAAAATGGTTTTCCTTCTATCTGAATCCGTTCATGGTAATTGACAGTCTTTTATGATCAAACTTGTATTTTTGTTTTTGGTCAACAATGGCGGTATCTTCTCTGTATCTTAATTCATGTCATCAAATTCTTGGTTTTATAAGATGTAAAACTAGTAGGTTAGATCAAACTTCAGAAGAAGGGAAGGGTGGCAAAAGGATGCTTAAAATTCTGATCGCCGCAGGGGCGCTGGGGGCTAGTTTCGGCATTGGCAGCAAAACGCCGAGGACTCCAAGTGCAGGTGTTTGAGAAAGACCTGAGTTCGGTGAGAGGGGAGGGGAAACACCGTGGACCAATTCAACTTGCGAGTAGTGCACTGGCAGTGCTGGAAACCATTGACGAGGATGTCGCAAACAAATCATGGAAGCAACCTGTGTTCCTCGCCCATTTCTACGATTTTGTTTGCCCGAATTTTTGACTTGGATGATAACACGACATGGGTAAGGGAACATAAAGACAACAGAAATCTGTTTCGATTCATTTTCACAGTTCAGTTCTATGAGCATCCCTCATTTAGGCATCCTCCGCTCTCAAAGGGAGAGAAAAGGATACAAATAGCAGAATAAATCACAAACTTCAATCACTTCATGAGTGGCCATTATTTTTCTTTCCGGTAATTTCGTTCCTACTTGTGAGAGAGATGTCATCAGCGAAGTTTTAAATTCTCTAACGGAAGCAGGGGTTACGACAAAGGAAAGGAGATTAACAGAAACAAGAAAACTATCACTGATCAAGAACAGAGTCTTTCTAATTTGACACCGTACACGATTATTTCTGGGGTTAATTCTACACAAGTACTTTTGTACATTATATTACATACGCTTGTAATGGATATTTTGACACAAAACAGCGATTGTACTACAAAAACCATAAATCGTTCAAGCATACACTTGAAATATATCGACCAAAACAAAAACCCTAGGGATTAGTGATCAGGGAGTACTATCTGCCTAATGCTACTTTCTACTTTCCCCTATCCCTCACTAGAATACATAAATAAAGTTATACCTTCTTCATGTCCATGGCCATGCATAAAGCTAGACGATTAATTTACCTTCTAGACCGTTTTTTAGGCCGCTTAGAAACCTCTTGCTGTCCTCCACTCTCCCGTGGCCGCTTTGGTGAAGCTGCTACAATTGCAGCCTCAGCAGCCGCCTTCTTGGGCGGCCTTCCTACACTTCGCTTGGATGGACTGCTGCTTTCTTCCTTGGCTTGTTTCTTCTTATCGCCACTTTGCCTTAACACCCTTTCTTTAACTTTGTCAACCTTACCACCACTTCCCCTCCTCTTTTGCTCTCCACCTGATCTAGAACTAGTGCCGGTGCCAGTGCCACCACTCTTCAGTGTGTCCGCAGGTGAATTGCGCTTTATTCTCTTCAAGAAATCAGCTGCTGCACTACGCTTTTTGTCCGACCCTGCTGCCTCCGTTTTCCCCTTCTTATCCGGTTTGGGAGTTTCGGCTTTCAAACTTGCCAGGCTCGCACTTTGTTTCTTCTTGGAAGCACTGCCATTATTATTCTCGTGATGAGCAGTACTCATACTCGTCCTTCTCGAGCTTCTGGTTCCAGTGATCACGGGGTTGTCTTTGGCTTTAGCAGCAGCAGCAGCACTCTTTACTAGTACTGAACTGCCACGCTTTTCAGCTGCTGCATGATCATCAGAAGAGGCCTTGGTGGCATTAATGGACGGTTTAAGATCAAAAGCTGCTGCTTTCTTCTTCTCATCTCCTTTGAGAGTCTGACCAAAGCTAGAAGCAGCCGCGGAAGGTTTTGACGAAATGGAGCTCCTTTTGCGGCAGACAATGATGGGTGCAGTAGACTTTTGCTTGGCAAGCAAGGAATCTGATCCTTCAAGCTGCTCAGGGCGTTTGGGTTGCTGACTTGTGGCGGGTGCAGGAACTACCGAGTCTGATTGCTCAGATGAAGGGTCGTGGTTGGGCCGTGTGATGAGATTCTTCTTCTTCATTTCATTTAAGACGAGGCGGCGGAGTTGGTGAGCAGTCCTTGACTCGAGGGAGGATTTGGGGAAGAAGACGACGGCATTGTTGAAGAGGAGGAGCAGGTCTCGGTAGAAGGAGAGAGAGCAGGATGAGTAGGCGTCCTTGCGGAGCTTTGTTTGTATAGTTTCCAGGTCTACATGCTGCTGGACAATGCTCTTGTACTTATCGCTTTCCTGCACAATGATCACACAGCATCATACATTCATATGCTTCCGTTCGGTTTAAAATTTTCATCCGCACCCCAAAAGTTTATTAGTCATCACTCATCAGTGACTGTATTTTATATGTCCATTTTAGTGTGTGTGAAAACGAGAGAGGATCCTCGCCGGATCCTCTTTCTGAGGATCCCAAGGATCCTCCAATCACATCCGTTCATCGTACATCGTGCGGCCAGTTTTTGTCAGGTACTGTTTATATTCAATTTTAAATAAAATAATTTACAATGATTTTTTACTGTACGATATACAATAAACGGATGTAATTGGAGTATCCCAGGATCCGGCGAGTATCCTGGTGTGAAAACTAGTAACTAATAACTTCCAGAGTTGAGAATTGCCATTTCAAATCACAAGTGGGCTTTGATATGCCCATTATAAAAATGGGTTTTGAATGTTCACGCACGTCT